TTCTTTCGCTTGTTCTTTGTGGTTTTCTTAGGTCACTGGACCTATTTGGGCTGGGGAGAGCAGCAAAGTACGTAAGAATTTCAATTTCTTATAATTTTCCTGGTCTTACCTTTTAATGTTTTCCCTTTGAACCATGAAGCTGGATATTCATGCATACAAGCATATATAATGCCATTGTCCTTTCCTCTCCCCCTTGACTCTTGGGAGACAATTGTCTGTAGTGGAATATTATATTCTTTCAGTCTGGCTTCTTGAAGATTGTGGGGGTAGGAGGGCAGATTTCAAATCAAAGTGCAAGTCAAAATCATGCCAGGATCACCTGATCTTTATTTCCCAGATCTTTATCAGTATTACTGGGGAGAAATGCAGAATACACTACTATCTTGGGTTTATTAGTCTGACAAAATGTGAAATGTCATTTCAGCCAAAATTCTGGTTTTATGAAGGAAACGAGGCTAAGAACATGGTTCAGCTTTCCTTGAAGTAGCCCTGCTAGAGATTTGTTCTAGAGCTTAAAAGAGTGGGCAGCTAGTTCTTTCTAGCTCTAGGCTGACATTACTGACTGTGTTACCCATCTAACAAGGGATGAAGTTGAGTCTTAGTGATTAGGTATCCAACAGGTGCTTAGAAGGGCCAAATTGTATTTTCTCACAAAGTATGTACTTGCTGTAATTTGAATCCCAAGTATTTTTACTGTTAGAGAACTGCTCAAAAGCAGCCTAAGAGTGCAGAGAAGTTAAGGTTTTCGAGCCAATAAAAAGTAACTTAAGCCTTGAAAAAATGTGCCAATTCTCTTTGATCCCCCCTCACCCCCCACCCCAACCCCGGCTGATAAAGTTCTAGCTATACTTAGTATTTAAAGATGGGAACTGGAATCTAAGATACTAAATACCAGAGAGCCTCATTTGCCCCAAGTTAGATTACTTTCCCCAGCCAACTTTTCCAGGCTTATTTTCTATCATTCCTGTACATTTCCTTTTATGTAGCTGCCAAGCTAGCTAACAAAATATTTCTAAAAAATGTATGGCCTCTCTCCTGTTTAGGCCTTTAATCATGCAATTGCTTTTATCCAGGATCCAGAAGATATATTTTCCCCTCAGTCTTTACCTTTTGAAAACACAAAGTTCTTCAAAGCTGTCTTCTCCATAAAGCTTTCCCTACTCACCCTCTCAGGAAGTTTTCAATTGATATTGTGCTTAGTTTATGCTACTCTTATGTAGTAACTTCCTTGTATAACAATTCGTTCTGTTCTTGTTTTCACTCCTGTATTACTTGACTTGTATTCTGAACCTTCTTTGCTGTTTAACCTTGCATGTAGGCACTCAATATTTGAATGAGTAAATGTCCCCATCTTTTAAATTTTCCATACTTCAAATGGTCTTTGCTAGGGGTTTTTCAATGTTTGCCATTTAACTAGCCACAGGTCCTTCCTTAGGCTGAATAACCAAACCTGTACTCAGCTTCTTTTTCTCTGCAAAACCTGGAGTTTTCCTAGTGAACATGGTACTATGGAGTAGATTGTAGAGCTAAGTAGGAGATGATGACTGACACACTAAAATAACAGTTCTTTTATTCAAACTGAAGGGTTACACAGTTTCCTTAATTTCCTTTTTCAGTTTCTAGTTAGATTTGGTTGTGCCAGGAAATTTATTTTCTAGGGAAATTGAGGGTGGTAGAGAGGAGATAAACTGGCCTTTGCCTCTGCCTACTTTTTTCCCGTTTTTCTCTTTTGTCTCACCTCATTTTTTTTTTTTTTGTATTTTCTTTCTCCTGACTCTCCTGTTTTTTATATTCTCTCTTCTTCTAACCTTTTCTTGCTGTGACCTGCATCCTAGCCAGAAGCTTGACCCCAAGGATCCCAATGAACCATGGCCTGCCACTTGCCCCAACCACTAAACAGAAAAGGTGATGGTGAAAATCAGGAAAAGAAACTTTAATCAGTAGGACCATATTGGGAAGGCAAAGTGAGATCCAGTATCTCAGCCCCTGTCTTCAGGTTGCCAGTAGGAGCTTTAAGTTCAAATAGAGGAAGAATTGGAGCAGGGAGCAGTAGGTATGTATAATTAATCAGTCTTGGCCAAACTGTAGACTGACTACTGTGAAGTAGCTCCAGAGAAGACTTATCAATTGAGGGGGCAAGTACTACTTGCTGCTCAGGATGTTTGTCTTCAGACCTGTGATAGGGATTGATGATTGGAGACTTCTAGGTACCACTCTAGGGGCCTGAAACAGGATGCTATAAATATTGTACCTCAGTCTTCAAGGGGGATAAGATATATCAGGTAAATTTAGGGTTAATAAACCATGTATTACTAGTTGTTAGATGAATACTTCTTAAATGATTAACATGCATATGTGAAAAGCTGAGCAGGGATATGACTCAAAGTTTATGGTAATAAAGGAGACTGATACAAAATGAAGTCAGATGCCAAGCTTTATCTTGGTTTTGGTAACTCAGAGGGCATCTGCTGGCCTTGGTAAAGAGTCACTGTTTTTAGCAAAAGGCATCCTCTAGGTCCCTGTTTTAGTTCTAGGCACTTTTTTTCCTTAATATTTGCCCTTTATTTACTTAATATAGAAGTGTTGTTAGTCTTTAGAAAAGTTGGTGGGTATTTCTCCCCTTAGCCTAGCAAAATAATAAAGCAGAGCATTATTTAGGAGATCAGATAGAGTAATAAATTGTCTAAGTAGTTTCTGGCTTTGGATCATGGATTCCTAATTCTGACTGAGCTAATCTCTTTGGCCTTATGGTCGATAGGATCATCTATTGTTGTTGCCTCTTTGTAGACTCAGTCTTGATTTTCTGACTTTAGTGCTAATATATTTCTTGCCTGAATTTAAGTAGACTTTCAGTTTTGTCTTCTTTGTTCTTTCTGTTCCCGCTTGTTGTTTCTGTTCCCACATCTGTAATGCATGAATAGTCCAGCACTGACTTCTTCAGACTTACTGCTCCTTCTGTGGGTTCAGAAAGAATTAAGTCTGAATGGCATATTGTTTTTGTCTCTTGACCTTTTTCTTTCTGATTTTGAGAACAAGAAATTCATCAAGGGTTAAAACCAGTGCCTCCCAAAGTCTGTTTCTGCTAATGTGTCATCAGAATGCTTTGTAGCCAGAATGCTTTGCATTCTTGTTGTTTATCTTTGTTTTCAATATGTACTACTCTTGCTTGTCAGATGACTACTTTAACCAGAAAGTTTTACTAATAATTGTTTCTGACTCTTTGAATGTTAGCATCTTTATTCCGATTTTTTTTTTTTGCCTTGGGACTTGATTGATCTCCTTTCCTTTTTAAATACTCACATGGTGCCATAAACTCAAGTGGAATAATCTGATATGCTCTCCTCTTATGCCTACCCTTGGTCTCACCTTGTTGCTATAAACTCCAATGAGTTTAACCTCTACTCCATTCCCCAGCTGAACCCACAAATGTGATCTGGAATCCAGTGCTTAAACACAACCCCATGTTTGTGTTGTCTCTTTTAGTGAAATTATTATCTACTAGGTTGTTTAGTTTAGAAGCCAAGGGATCACTGTCCATTTTCCCCCAAGTTTTATCAGTTCTGCCTGGATTTTTTTTATATAGTTCATTAACTCCTTTCCATTTCTACTGCATGGATACAAGTCCTTGTCTACTGCCACAGTGATTGTAAAAGCCTAATATTATGGTCTTCAGGAGGCTTCTACTGCCAAAACTACTACCCAGACTATTTTTTTTTTTTTTTAGTTGTAGTTGGACACAATACCTTTGTTTTATTTATTTATTTTTATGTGGTACTAAGGATTGAACCCAGGGTCCCATGATGCTAGGTGAGCATTCTACCGCTGAGCCACAATCCTAGCCCCCAGACTATCTTTTAAAATTACTAATGTGAGGAGTCCATCATCTGCTAAAAGTATCTCTCTTTCAGGATGATGAATATTCCTTTTCCTCACTGAGAATCAAATAGGAAGTTGGCAAGAAAGGACATGTGAGACCTTGTTAATCATACACATATGGATATGGTGTCAGATATGGCTTCTCTATAAAGTAGTTTACAAACACTACTTTTTAAAAATATTTCTAGTTGTAGATGGACACAATACCTTTATTTGATTTATTTTTATGTGGTGCTGAGGATCGAACCCAGTGCCTCTCACATGCTAAGCAAGTGTTCTACCACTGAGCTACAACCCCAGCCCCCAAACACTGCTTTTTTTGAAAGGGTTGAGCTCCCTTTCCAAGCATCATTTTGATTTGTAATGGTGGTCACTTTAGCTGATCTGGAAAGTAGATAAAATTCTGAAAAATTGTAGTCACTGCTGTTTGGTAAAATGGCTGCATTATCAGCAATATCCCATGAGTAGTGTATGTTTTCTTCTTCTCTCAGCTCGTGGTCAGGATGGGAATTCTGAGCCCAGGGTGTAGGTACTTAACAGGAATTGTTAGAAAAACTTGCCATGACATCCAGACAGTAAGTCTGCTGCTGTTCTCAGCTGCGTCTAGTCTAGAGCCTTTGGCTTGATTTCTAAGCCTTGGCTTTGACCAGCTCCTCATGGTGGATCTGTTTTTTTGGTTTAGCCCATGCATTTTAAAGTCTGAAAAAAAACAGTCTAACTTTAAATTAAAATTTATCTTTTCTAAGATATGGAAATGCTGTTTTTCCTCTTTGATAACAATAGAGGACCAAAATCTATTTGTGACATTTAAAAACAGATTTTAATTAGGGTTATTAAAACTAAAGTAGCAGAATTCTAGAAAATTCTGCTCTGGAAAAATGCAACTTGGAGCACTTCTGAGAATCAGAACTAAAATTAAACCAAGTGTTTTATCTTATTTGATAGAGTTGTGGATATTAATTGAGATTTTTCCACATATGTTTTTGAGGTCACTGGGCTCATATGTAGCTCAGCTTGTTCTCGTTTTAAAGGTTCAGATTTGTGGTTATCAATGTTAGAGCAGAAAAAGTTCTGAAGAACTAAATAAAGCTGGAGTTCTTGGACTGACTGTGCTTATTCTACAGCCTTTGAAGACCCTGATAGTGCCGTCGATGACCGAGACAGTGATTATCGCAGTGAGACCAGCAATAGCATCCCACCTCCTTACCATACGACTTCCCAGCCCAATGCTTCTGTGCACCAGTTTCCTGTGCCTGTGCGATTGCCACATCAGCTACTGCTTCAGGGCAGTTCCCGGGATTCTTGCAATGACTCTATACAGAGTTATGACCTTGATTATCCAGAGCGTCGGGCCCTCAGGTAGGTATTAGGAACAAAGCACTTTCTCTTCCTAGCAATCAGTTCCCATGAAACAATTGACAAGAAGGATATGAGAGCTTTGACTTGAAGTGGTACAATATAGCAATACGATGGGCCAAGCTTCTGTTATTTTGTGTATATTTTCAGTCTCTTTTCTCTTCTACACATTCATATACATCATCCATATACATTTTTACCAGGAATACTTTTCTTTATGATCAGTGATTTTCAACTAGTGAGGGCATTCTCACTTGGGGTGGATGGCTCCCTCTTGCTGCCAGCTTAGTGATTTATTTTTCCCATACCAGGGATTGAATCCAGGGGTGCTTTGCTACTACTGAAGTACATCCCCAATCCCTGTTTATTCTTTATAAGGTCTCACTAAATTGCCCAGACTGGCCTTGAACTTACAATCTCCCTGCCTCAGCCTCCCATCTCTTGGATTATAGGTGTGCACAACTGCCCCTGGCTCAGCTCAGTGATTTTAATACACCCTTCATCACAGTGAAAAAAAAGAAAATCATAGATATTGAATATTTGGGTAATTCTTCCTGCTAAAATATTTTCTGGGAACTTTATAAGAAAACCAATATGATCTTATCATAGCAAATTCAGTACTTTTGCTGGAACTTTGTTTTAATTTAATTTCTTAAATATTTAAAGTATTTCATGGTTGAATAAAATTTAAAATACAGTATAGCATACAATAAAGAATCTCCTACCCACACCTGTCTTCCTTTACCCTATTCCCTTTCTTCCTTCTAGTTCCCTCCCCATTGCTGTTTTTAGGTATCCTTCCATAAACTAGTGTCATGTATTTGTGTCAAAGAAAATGTGTACATTTAGGTTCCTTCCATCTTCCAATGTTTTTAAAAAATATTCCAGACTTAAAATTTGGAGAAATAATGCAGTGAATATCCAAATTTTTGTTGCCTCATTTATTAGTTATGTTAACATTTTGCCACCCTTACTTTATCTCATTCTTTCTGATATATATTCACATACACATATTTTTTTTTGAAAAATTTGATTGTAAGTTGGAGATACCATATTATTTTACCAGTAAGTACTTCACATATAATTCCTAAGAAAAAGGACTTTTTAAAAAGTATCTAAATGTTTTTATTAAGATGTTATACATAACATTGGGGTTCATTTTGAGAAAAATTATAAATGCATGGAATATAATTTGCTCCACTTCAGTCCCCAGAAAAAGGACTTTTAAAAAACATAACCTTAGCATTGTGATCATAATCAAGAAATTCAATGATACAATTATGTTATCTGATATATACATCATATTTAATTTCTCCAATAAGTCTCCGTAATGTCCTTTATGTGTATTTTTAATTTCCTTTTTGATCTAGGATCCAGTCAAGAATCATGAAGCATTATATTGATTTTCCTTTTTATTAGTCTCCTTTAATCTAGCAAATCCCCACTCCCTCCCCTTGTACCCTGTCTTTGGAGATACATGTTTTGAAGAGTGTATGCCAGGTGTTTTGAAAATGTCTTTTAGTTTGATTTTGTCTGATTGTTTCTTCATGTTTAGAATCTGGTTGAACATTTTTTTGGCAAAAATGCTACATACTGTGATGTTTCTTTCACAGTGCATTCAGGAAGCATGTACTTTGTCTTACTAATGGTGATGTTTGGTTAAGGAATATGGTATGTGCTATTTTATTTTATTCCAGTGTAACAATATTCTTTCTCCTTTGTAATTAATAGTATCTGGGTGATACCTGAGATTGTATCAATATTCTACAGCCTTTTAAATTGATTTTAGCATCCATTAATCCTTGCTTCAATCAATTATTTTATTGTTCAGAGATTAATTTTTAAAAAACCCATTCCAACTTAGCTCATATTTTTAATTTCTAAAATTCACCAGCTCACTAAACTTGGACACTGGTGAATTTTTATGCTTAACTTCAAAAGGCCATCTAGACAAGCCAAAGCCCTCAACTCTGCCAACTCCCCTTTCAGGGGCCCTGGTACCTATCCCAGTTTACTGTGTCATCTCTAAAAATATTTTCAGTTAAATTTTCTCATATTCTGACTCTTCATATTCTGATTCTGAAGAGAAACACATTAAGAAAGTTCTTACTCTTTAGTAGTTCATAACTTAAATGCTTGTTTTTTTCTTTATCTGTTTTTGTTTGTTTGTTTGTTTTTTAAGACGAGGTCTTGCTACTTGGCCCAGGATGACTTAGAATTCCTGGGCTCAAGTGATCCTCCTGCCTCAACCTCCTGAGTAGCTGTGATTACAAGCACACGCCGCAGTGCTCAGCTTGAATACTTCTGTTTTATTCATTTGATTTTAGTTACATTGTTTACATTGTCCTACTTAAAAAAAACATAATTGCAAAAATAGTTTAAAATTTTTATTAGTGCAAAATAATTATATAGAATATTGGGTTTCACTGTGACATATTTGTTCACACATATAACATACTTTGATCAGTTTAATTACCTGGTACTTCCCTTTTAGCCTTTCCTCTCCCTCACCAGGACCTGTTTTCTTTATTCTACTCTCCCCATTCTATTTTTTCTTTCTCTTTTTACAATAAATACATAAATAAAAATTTTCTTTTAGTTTTCCTCTCTGTGTTTGTAAGCTTTAGGGGTACAGTCCAAAAGTCATGATAACAGATCATCCCCGAATTACTGCATACTCTTCAGTTTGGACAAACTGTGATTTTCCTAACCATTATCTTATTATTTGGTTATTTCCTGGGTTACTGCTATAATAAATAAACCTTGGAAGAGCATTAATGACATGCTTTAAGTTGCCAATTTTTCCTAAAATTTTTCAATTGTTCTCATATAAATTGAGCTTTACTGAATCAATAGGTAAAATGAGGTTTAAAAGTAAGTATTTTATAATGGCCAGCAGAGGAAAAGTTAAAAGGAATTTTAAGTAAACTTTTTTTTTTTTTTTGTACCAGGGATTGAACTCAAGGGTGCTTAACCACTGAGTCACATACTGAGCCCTTTTTATTTTGTATTTTGAGACAGGGTCTCTATAAGTTGCTGAGGCTGGCCTTGAACTTAAATCCTTTTGCCTCAGCCTCCCAAGTTGCTGAGATTACAGGCATGCACCACCATACCTGGCATAAACTTTTTATTGTAGACATTTTTTAAAAAATATATTTTTTAGTTGTCAGTGGACCTTTATTTTTGTTTATTTATATGCAGTGCTGAGAATTGAACCCAGTGCCTCACATATGCTAGGCAAGCACTCTACTACTAGCAAGCAAGCACTACAACCCCAGCTACAACCCACTACAAGCACTACAACCTCAGCCCTATAGACATTTTTAACTCAATGTTTTATAATAATTTTTCCTTTAAGAGTTTTGGAGAGATTTTATCACTAGTATTGTTTATAAATGCAAACACTAATTTCATGGACATAGTTCCACAAAGCTCAGTTATAAAGTCTGTTTTCAGTATCTTAAGTTGCATAGTTTTTTAAGAAGAAAGTTTAAAATTCTTGAGGGGGAAAATGTATTTTCCAGGAAATATAAAGTATAAAAATAAATAGTTACATCCACTGTATCCATGGCTGTTGATTTAATCTGGAACTATAAAGACTCCTTCCAGGTTGGATTTAAGTTTAGTTTGAGTTTTTGGAGAATAATGGAGAGTTGTGAAATTGCATACAAAAAATATCATGCAATCAAATGAGCTTTTATTTAATTAATCTAGAATAACATGATTTTTATATAATTTGAGGTTTGACAACAGAATTTAAACTTTGTTGAATGTTATTAACCAAAGTGTTTCTGGTATTGAGAAGAGTTAATAAAAGGTCAGCCTTACCCTGAAAGATTTTTCAGTGACCACTTTGATTTTGTTTCTGGACTTCATGTTTGATCTTGTTCTGTTTCCTAAATAAATGCTAGTATATGTTAGATTTATAAAAGAACATAGTGAGCTGATAAGTCCTTGGTCTGTAGGCCTTCGGTGTGTAGAAATACAGGAACCAGGCCATCTCCAACCTAAATGAAAGAAAAGTGAGCTGTCTTATGAATTCATTGTTTTGTGTTAGACATGTGGCTTTTACTGCTATAATCAGCACAGGAAAAGATACTTATTTTAATGTGATCCTTGATGTGTTAAGCCTTTGTGTTTCTCAAACAACAAATTACAAAGCTTTAAATAAATTGCTGTTTTTGGTAGTATAATAAGGATAGACTTTTGATAGTCAAGTTATTTTTGTAATGCTTGTTTTTTTTTTCTTTTTAAAAGGAATATGTTTGACCATATTGTTGTCTTTGTAGCCTGGAATATAATTTTCAGCAAGTTAACAGCTTGACTTCTTTTTAGACACAAATGCATCAGCAAACTTGGGTTTCTTGAAATCTCTTGATAAACCAGGTATGGTGAAGCACACCTGTAATCCCATCTACTCAGGAGGCTTAGACAGGAGGATCACAAGTTCAAGGTCAGCCTCAGCACTTAGTGAGACCCTGTCTCAAAAAATAAAAAGGGTTGGGAGGTTGAGTGCCCTGGGATCATCAATCTCCAATGCTGGTGGAAAAGATCAAAATAAATAAAAGAAATCTCTTGATATATTTTCCATTGTACCTAACAGTTCTATTACATACACTATGTTGATATTGAAAAAGCATGCTTAATTTTTTTTGTTTCTTGGAAAATAAAAGAAACTTAAAAAGCTAGCAATGACAGTGGTAGCAAGTGAAACATTTAAAAATTTTAAAGCTGTTCTTTTTATGATGTGGAAAAAAACTATTTGACTAGGTATAATATTAAGAACATGTGGATTTCCATTTCTTATTTTTTATTACTGGCAATTTTACTATTCTAATCCTTTCATTAAACAGGTACTTTGATAACTTTTTTCTTCTTTTCCCTGTCTCTCCTTTTTTCTTTGCCCTACCATTCCTCCAATTTTAACCCCTTAGGCAAGGCTCACAGGCTAAATATGACAAAATTAGGATTATTTCTGCTTTCTCTGATGTTGACTATGAAGA